ACCACCACCTCCACCACCACCACACAGTACTACCACCACCTCCACCACCACACAGTACTACCACCACCTCCACCACACAGTACCACCCTCTCCATCACACAGTACTTCTATCAAATTTGACATGACATAGTTTTCATTGTGAGATCAGCAGACAGGAATTTCACAATTCTGAAAATAGTACAACTAAAATGATGACTATAGGTAGTCAGCCATTTTGATTTGAATTACAAGATAGCCATTTTGAATCCAGTCTGTGAAAAAAATCACCTACCAGTAAGTTGCATGAAGTTTGATGTACAAACCAAATTTGAATGAAATCCATGCACAAATGCTTAAATTCAGTTTGGGAACGGTGGAAATTACTATGATGCATTTTTACATTATTCATCTATCTTGAATAAGATTGTGAAACAAATGTATGTTCCCAAAACTCTTGATAAACAGACTCTCAGGAGCATCCTGAAAAATCCTAAATCAGGGTTTTGATAGCATTGTTTAGATCACCACATCACTAAATTTAGATTCATGAAAAATACCAATTATAATCAGCAATTGGATAACTTAAATAAACCTGTTTCTGTTTGACATAACTGTATTATATTAGATGGACAGCATAAACACTAAATACCAGAGCCTTCTTCCTGTGTGACAGGTTTCCGTGATGGGCTTATTTTACTTGTCGACTTTGGTTCCAGTTTCCGCTGCAATAAAATATAATTGACAAGATACAGTTCCTGTTATGAATTTTACAATCGTAACAATTAGAAGTTTTCAATGGAGTTCAAGACAATTGATGAATTATACATTTACCACGCGACAATGCATACACAAAAAGTGATCTTCCACACACATGTTGGCAAATATGATGGCATGGCTTGATTATTTGTCAGGATAATCATTTCACCCCATGACACAACATGATACACAAGATGATACAATTGAACATACTATCATTTCTCTGGTTACGTCTCATCTCGATGTTTTTCCCAGGGTCTTTTAAGCATCACAATTTGGAAGACAAAAAGTCAAATAATATTTGTTTCTAATGCAAATTAGCTATGATGCTTGCTGGGAGATTTCTACATGTATAAACTTAACACAACGCCTACTAACGCCCCCCCCCCCCCCTCCCGATTCATTTTGTAGTAAAAGTGACTGTAATTTCACTCATCCATGGAAGCTTTCAGCTGGCAACATATTAAAGCAGTACTGGTAAATTAGTATGAAATACAAACATTTTCATAGATTGAATATGGTGAGAATTTTTTACCAATTGATTGACCATTTCAAATATTGATTTTGTTTGAGTTGTGATTTTGTGAGGTCATTTGTAAGGGTTAACATTTCCGGCCATGGTCAGAAAATAGAAAATGCCTGTCTAAAAACAAAAGACTTGGAAACAATTGTTTGTTGATTATTTATGGTTATTTTGCAATTTACTGGTAATTTTCAATTGTAATTAGATCAGGTGGCTGGCTAAAAGCCTGTTTCTAGCCAGTTTTTACAAATCAAGATGCAATGAGCAATAGTGACTGCTTTACTCAATGCAAATGTAGAAGTAAGACACTGCTTGTTGAAGACTTGCATGATTGTTTATGGAGGCAATACGGTAAATTACTAAAAAAGAACATTCATGGCTGGTAACTGTTATTATTATAAATTAATCAAATGGTTGGATGACTATTTTCAGGGGGTCTGATAGACAAGCGTAATTTTTCAATTTTTTGTCTTCTGAGTGTGATAGGGTATATCTTATTACCGTATACCTTGACAGTCATGGTATCCACACTGGCATACTCCTAGGGGTAAACCATATTATGATATCCGGGGGTGAAAATATGGTCACAGGTCAACTCACACCAAAACCAACTCGCACCATACCAACTCGCACCAGACCAACTCGCACCAATGCTAACTCGCACCAACGTAAAACTAGTTCCAGTACTGTAGGTTCATTTTTCGGCCAAAAAAAGGTATTTGTGGTCGCTAGATAGATGTTTTAGCTGGTTAAAATTATTTCGCCGTTAATAATTTCAAGAACTCCGATGTTATGTAATTTCTATCATATATTATTTCGCCGTTAATAATTTCAAGAACTCCGATGTTATGTAATTTCTATTGTATATTATTTCGCCGTTAATAATTTTCAAGAACTCCGATGTTATGTAATTTCTATCGTATATTATTTCGCCCGTTAAGACACATACATTGAAAAAACATGTTACTAGTTTTTGAATGTACTACAGTAGTCTTCCATTGTCTGTCGTCGACCCCCGCCACCACGCACTCCATCAGCGCCCCGATGGCGGACTTCTTGTCGGGTTTCAGTCAGTTTCACTTTTGATCATGATTAATTCGATATAAATGCAGTTCTTTACCGGAAATCGCCAGTCAGTTTTCTTTGTGTTTAAAAATGACCTACAGTAGGGTTGGCATGGTTAGTCAGTCGCTGGTATGTTCGCTTCCCACTCATAGGCGGTTGTACCAGTTGCCGCTGATTAACTAAGCAGACCCTACTTTAGGTAATTTTTTATTATCCAAGAAACGTCCCTAGCAACAAAGGGACAAAGTGAACCACACAAATGCTTAGAAATATGATCGTGGTGCGAGTTGGTTTGGTTCGAGTTGGCATTGGTGCGAGTTGGCATTGATGCGAGTTGGTCTGGTGCGAGTTGGTATGGTGCGAGTTGGTTTTGGTGCAAGTTGGATCGAAATCTGAAAATATACTGCTCTGGTACATGCTCTGGTTATGTTTTTTCTAGAACTGACTCTTATACACGTACTATAATACTACATATAAAGCTCATTGTGGCTAAATTTTGTTTTTTCCCGGGAAAAACTTTTTAAGCTACCCATGTATTCGATGAAAAAAATTCCAGAATCTTCCAATTTCAACTGCTTCAAGCACCGCGCATTGTTAAATTTAAATGCCCCCTCCCCGCCCCAAATACAGCTCGAGCATTTCAATATCTAAGCAAAAGTACAAGAATACATATTACCAATTTTCTTGGTCTGTTTGAAGAGCATGATGTCCCAGGCTCGTCATCACTGTTTCCTTTTCTTTTACTCCCACCAGGAAACCCGAAGAACCTCGACAGAGTCACCTGTGTCTTCATTTCGTCACCACTACTAGATTTGGCACGTTCACCTGAAATGTTCTTAAGTTTTGATAAATTGGGCTTTGACATTTCTGATAATAATAAATTTTCGATTATATTTACATAATAACAAAAATCGCATTTTCAGGAACGTTTCAAACCAGACACCAAATCACTGAAATCGATCAATTTGCTACTAAACCAAAATTGCCGCCATATTGAAAGTTTACCTAAATAAATAATAAACTTAGGGGGTTTAAAGACCTTTAACTTACAATTGTTAACCATGCGAAAATTATCACTAAAACATTGGTTCATTGATATTGTAATACTTTATACATTCATTGTCATCGCTGTCTAAATGACACTAACTTCGCCGAAGAATTATATGTCAACCACAGAGCCAAAATGTGTACTAGGATTTTAGACTGAATTGCGCCCTCAGTGACAGCTATTCGAGAGTAGTGGCCATTTTGTAGGAAGTTTTTTTTTGTTCACTTTTTTTTTTCTTTTATTTACCTGCCTTTCAGATGCAAACGAGATATCATGTATTATTCAGGCTAGTTGTCAGACTGTTATTTATGCCGCTTAGCCGTCCTTGTCCGGATTCTTGCTCTTCTACCGGCCAATATTTGGATAACGTGTCCCCATGAATGACGAATCGTCCAAATAGATTTCGTCGTTGGTACCGGATGCGCTTCGTATGCAACCGATGACTGAATAACAAACAAAACTTTTACAGGATACACCTGCAAGTAAACACCGGTGAGTGGTCATACATTAGTCCAGGTGGTGTTATTCAAGTGCAGTTTGTTAGCTTGTGTTGCATAATTTGCTTACACCAGTTTGGAAAACTTGCAGGTGTTGATAAATTAAAACGCTTTAAATTGTTGTATTGGGAGTTGTTTGTTTTTACGCTCATCGGTAAAATAAAGTCACGTAACAAACCAGTGTCCGAAATGAGTATTTTTGGGATTTTCCGAACTTCGAGATCTAACGTTAGACATGAAAGGTGCAGACCGAACGTCTCGAAAATCGAGTGATTGGATTTTTTTCACTATTTATTTAAAGTTGCCATCTTCTGATTATTATTGTTTTCTTTTTTATTAAATCAAGTATGAATTATTCTAGCTTTTGGGTCCAAGATTTCGTTTTGGAACTTATTCTACACTCGTTATATCTTGAATATCTGAGTTGGTATTTTAATTACAGTTAGTATAATTTAACAGTACAGTTGATCTGTGTATAAAGTTCTGCTGATATTTACTAGTGTGTTAAAAGAGTTTCAATGTACATGTGGGGGCGGAAACTATTGTGTTTAATAGATTATCCATTCCCACGCCAGACTAAAATATTATCACCAAATAATCAGTTTATTTTAAAGTGTCTCAATCTTCACAATGCAGCTTGCTTGATATGGGTCCCATGTGACTTATACAACATTATTTATTTACATGAAATTTGCTTTACAATAACTGTGGTGCTTTAAAAGCGATTTTAACTATTCTGTAAATTCCAATTCTAAACTAATTTCATAGATCAGTTTGTGTGACCAGTTGGTGTCAGTCCCATGCTTTTGTGTTTGCTAACCTGACAATTTCATTGTCAAAGAATCATCAATGTCACTCACCTAGTCCTGATGACAGTTCAAATTTTTAAAATCACTCAAGGAATATTCCAGGCCTGTGTCATGGTTAAGGCATAACAGGGCTTGAAATTAACTGTATCCCCAGGCGAACAGACTACCAAATCTTGTCCTGGGGGCTACCATTTTTCAAAATTAGTAGTCCACCTGGACTACTAAAAATTTACAAAGAATATTAGTACATTGTTTTTAAAATAAAGCAATTAGTCTTCAAAACTATGGATGTCCTACTCAAATTGAGCAAAATGACATGTATTTATTTATTATTATTTACTATTCCCTAAGTACCTTAAAAACCAGATGGACTACCAAATACTACCCTGAAACTACCTGCTTTTAAAACTGGTAGCCAGTCAGACTTCCAAGAAATTTTGAACCCTGCATAATATAAAAATTATTCACTGTGGTTATTCTCATAGCAAAGAATTTGCGAGATATTCCAAATATATATAAATGTATGTATATATATATTTTTTTACTATTGATCATTTTTATATAGATCATTGTGCAAACAATTAGAGCAGATATAATGACCCCAATCATTCTGTAATATTATCTAATGTCTAATCACATAATTATAAAAACATTTCATACAAGGAGGAAAATGTTGTCATCTCCATCGTAAACTCTGTTTGTTGTTGTTGTTGCAATAACTCAAGCAATTCTTGTCCAATCATCTTCAAACTTAGATATCATATATCACATTATTCAGTTTAGATAAATATTGGTCATGGTGTCAGACTACATTCACCATTAAATACAAATTGATAATCGGACAGTAGTATTGCATAGCAGTTGGTTGTCGGGTGGGTGTAAAAAGATTTTACAAATGCACCTCATTTGATGCACAGATTTACAATTGAACCAAACCATTTTTCTGTTTTTTCCCTTTTCGGTTATTTCTGTCCATGATTGGATAGAAAAAAAAAAGAACTACAAATACTCCAAGATTTTTTTGACTTCATTAAAAAATAAAATCGTTTTTGTAGGATGGAAACTTTTTGAGGTTTGACTAACATGTATGTATATGTGTTAATTATCTTAAAATAACACTTTTGTGTTTAACATAGAAATACGTGCAGAGATTTAGAATGAAAACTTGTTCACTGCTGATCATAAGAACTAGATGTCAACATAATTTGAAGTTACCGGTATGTTACTTAGATAACAGGAGTAACCGAACAAATTGTTTTTATTATATATTATCAATCTTTTTTCCCCACCAAAATTTGCATGTATTTTTCCTGCCAAAAGTTTGCTTAGATATATTGCTGTACTATTTGGAAAGTTTTTTGCTAGTCATATTTTGTTATTCTATACGAGATCTTGAAATTAATTAATATTGTACATTGTATTATTAAAGATACTAAATACACTCCTACATTTATTTAATTTATATCACCACAGATTCATATTCACAAATGTGAAAAACACATAAAAACCAGCCTTGTATCTGTCCAGTATCTGTCATGAATTATTTGTTACTAAAAATCTAGATTCTTGACTGACAAGATTGTAATAGTTACGTTATATTTACGTGAATTGCATTTATGCAGCTTCAACAGAACTACAAGATTGTGCAATTAAATTGTTAAAATCAGAAAAACCTGGACCGGAGACTAGTTTCCTTTCTTTGATTAAACTGTTTGTCAAAATAAGATATTTAGCTTTAGAACCTAATAAAATGTGGCAGGTGAATGCATCAAGAAACGTTTTGTTAATATCAGGCTTTGTTAGCAATAATTGGTGTTGGTTCGTCGCTCAATAGCTCACTGCATTGTGATGTAATGTTTACCGGGGTTTGGTTCATTGTTGTGTTTCATTCAATATTGCGACTGAAATTATGATTCATTAAGTGCACTTTGCAACATCTCCCACTCTTTCTTTAACCAACATTAATTCTGTGCTCTGCCCCTTCAGTAAAGGCAATCACTTCAATTGTAATTTGCATTCAATTCAAGATTTTCATTCAAGCAAACCATACTTCCTATGTATTTCCCAAGTGAAGTGGTGAACTGTCACGTAATCATAGGCTAGACGAGTTGTACAATAACCGGCACTGTTTTCAGTGCTGGCTTAATTTTTAATGTGGGTTTCCATGTTAATAGTTGCTACTTATGCCACATGTACAGTATCCAACTGTTTTTTTTTTAACATTCATTGGGGCAGAATGTGTATTATGTGTTTTTCGTTTGTTATAATGGCAAAGTTATGCCTATTGTATGTACATCTAACAAATTACTGACCCAACCTAATGTGCGTTGAACTCTCGGCGTGTTTACTTGACGCATTACTGTGTCACCGGGCAGCGTACCATTTTCCAGCCATGGTAACTTTACACATTATTTATATTGACCGTGATGCTTGTTCCTATTGTAAACTTCCTATTCGGTGACAGAACTGTGTGAAATAACTTCTGTCATTAGATATTGACTAGTGTCCCAGCAAGTCTTTGTTCATGTATATCTCTTGCAGTCGTGCATGATTGACGTAGTCTAAGTTTTTTCTACATTTGTATGTACACAATTGAAAGCCTTTCACCAATTGGCTGGTAATTGAAGATCAATTGTTGGGGGTGCGACCAGTCTTTCATGGAATGTACATTTGAGAGAGAACGTTTCCCCCTCGTAACACAAATCAACCTTGAAGTATAGTTACATTGTTATAGTGCTTGAATTTTAGCAGTGTTCACTGCTTTGTCAAATATTCTGCCACAAGAACGTACTGCAATTTAGCGGGATTGTATCTCCCAGTAATAGAATTGAAAAA